GAGAGGAGCAACAGGGGAGGTTTACTGGAAGGGGGGTGACTTCAGATAGAAACTGGAATGAACTTATGATGTTATGTTATGTGACTGAACAGATTCTGTAGAAAAAAAAAGTTAGCAGAGGAGAGGGAGGAAAAAAGTAGGAGAAACGGAAAAGAATAAAACTGAATTCAAGTTCATTTAGTAGCTGAAATAAAAGCTATGTGCTCATTTAAAAGTACTTTGTGCTTTGGATTTTTTAAAAATGAAACAGTTTTTATTTCAAAGTATGCAGATGGTACAATATTTTCCAAAACCCATATCTTTTTTGTTGAGATTTCGACTGCTTAAAACAAATGCCAGTGTGTGTTTGCCATTTTCAGAACCTCAGACTTGTCTGCAACGACTGCTGTCACTTAACCAACATTTTGTTGCTGAAACTGCTTTTGCTGGTGTATAAATACTTGATTTTTAACTTTTCAAAAAACGAGACTACGTTGAACTTTCATTTGGAAAAATGTTCTCTCTTTTCTTTCTTTCTCTGCTTTTCTGTTTATATACCTCTGTCTTTGTCTCTTTTATTCTCCTTCCTACTCTGTTGAACTTTTATTTTAAATACATTCTCTGTTTTCTTTCTTTTTCTGTCTTTCTATCTATATATGTCTCTCTCTGTCCTCTGTCTCTCTTTGTCTCCTTCCCAGCCCGTTTGTCTGAAGAATGCCCTGAAGGTAGAAGGAAAGTTTTGCTACGACTTTTCCAGACAACTTCACAATTTATATCCACACCATTTGTGGATAAACCCAAGTTAGAAAGTTACGTTACAATTCTACTAAACAACTCACGACTTTTGGAAATTTTATTTTTATTCCCTTGTAGAGAAAAGCCAAAGAGATTGAGCAAATTTCTTCTTTTTTGAAGCAGGGCCCTGACTCTGTCAAATAGTTTGATGTTACTCTTGTAATGACGAGACTTGGTTGACCGAAAAAACAACAACCAAAAAAAACTCATGGATCGAAAATACAAAAAGAAATGTGAAAAGACATGCTGTGTAGGGGGAGGCACAACTTATACCTCCAAACTCTTTTCTTTTCTTCCCCAATAAATCTATGATGATATTTATTTATGTGTACATTTTATGTGCTGAAGCTGTCACTGTTCTTCCCAGTGTTTTGAAATTTGTTGAAGTGTACAGATCAGCTAAGCAAAAATGTGATGATTTTTTCCTCCCCTTTACATAATTATTTATACGTTTGCTATGTTTGAACTTTACATATCAACATGCTCAGGCATATTTTGTTGGCCTTCAGTCAGTCACACACTCGCAGTCAGTCACAGATTCACTCACTCAGTGGTAGAGGCAATAAAACTGAACTCGTTAATTAGAGCTTTATTTTCTCTTTTTTTTCCCATTGGAAGTTGAATAAGTCAAACTTATTCCCTTTACGTCTCACTTTTGATGGCTATGTATTTGTTTTGATCTGTTGTTGAACCTGTTGCACATTGAAGACTTCCTTAGAATAACGTGTTGCCCAACATAGAACAGATGATCTGAATGTACTCATGTGGCAAACATGACTTGATTTAGAACTGATGAAACTGTATGATATCATTGGGATGGTTTATCAAAGTTTTCCCTTTTGTATTCTCAATGCCTTACTGTTGTGTAGAAAATAAAGTAAACCCTTACACATCATTCACCACAAATGGTTCTTGTCTTCTGTTTCTTTGCATTTTAGTTTTACGGCTCTATCAACACAATAAAGTCATAAAATACCAAAGGTAAGAGGTGTTACAAGAGAGTAACATACACAAAAAAGGAGGAGGAGAAATAAGGACGACAGATGTTTGATAGGAAAGAAGGAGCAAACCACACCAGAGTACCCGCCAAACCCCCACATTCTTTTTCTTTGCATTCTCCGTGCGAGATCTCAGGTAGTCATGAAGGACCTTACAACTGTATAAACTCCTTGAAGGTGCACTACTGTTCCCCAAGCTGAAGTGCAAGTCACTTTTGACATATCGCTAGCCGCGTGATTCAAACACCTTAGGGCCAAGAGACAAATGTTACAGGAGAAGCAAATAACTGCTTTATTTTTTTATGCTTGTACCCATGAATCTGAAATTCAGATACATGATATAATATGCATATGCTGTAGGACGATGGTCTGTAAATAACTTTTTTTAAAAATAGCTGTCTTACATAAGTTACAGGACATAGGTGGTTTAGACCTACCACTGGATGTTTTTGTTCAGTGTGTATCAAAGGCAACGAATGTTTGTGACAACTGGATGTTTTTGTTCAGTGTGTATCAAAGGCAACGAATGTTTGTGACAACTGGATGTTTTTGTTCAGTGTGTATCAAAGGCAACGAATGTTTGTGACAACTGGATGTTTTTGTTCAGTGTGTATCAAAGGCAACGAATGTTTGTGACAACTGGATGTTTTTGTTCAGTGTGTATCAAAGGCAACGAATGTTTGTGACAACTGGATGTTTTTGTTCAGTGTGTATCAAAGGCAACGAATGTTTGTGACAACTGGATGTTTTTGTTCAGTGTGTATCAAAGGCAACGAATGTTTGTGACAACTGGATGTTTTTGTTCAGTGTGTATCAAAGGCAACGAATGTTTGTGACAACTGGATGTTTTTGTTCAGTGTGTATCAAAGGCAACGAATGTTTGTGACAACTGGATGTTTTTGTTCAGTGTGTATCAAAGGCAACGAATGTTTGTGACAACTGGATGTTTTTGTTCAGTGTGTATCAAATGCAACGAATGTTTGTGACAACTGGATGTTTTTGTTTCAGCAAGGTCTGAATAGTCCAGAAATCGGACATCAAAGCCGGGGGGGGGGGGGGGAGGAGGATGTTGTCTTGCTT